AGAAAGAATCGCATGATCGGGGCACTCATATTACGAGATCACCATCACCACCATCATCTTCTTCATTTCTACCACAAATATTTCCAAACAGGCAGTCGTTGTTCTGGACAGAAAAATGAAAGCAGAAGATTAAGAACTCAAAACGAATTGAATGAATGACTTGTTTATTGAATAATAACGTTGGCTATTAAATAGCCTTACAAGAATTAACAGAATGCGGAAATTATGGCCCATGATTTACTCTAACAGAGACATGGTAACATGGAGAAAGAAAGAATCAAAAACAAAAACGAATCACCCTACTTAATAGGGATTTATTTAAACAGAGACTAATACTTGCCATTCCCTCCCTTAAACTAACTATTATCAAGTAATTAGTTTATATTAGAGACTTCACACACCCCTAGCTGTTTTTGGAGCTTCTGAAATGCATCCAGTTTCAGTGGCTTAGTCATCAAGTCTGCCACTTGATCTTGAGTCCCGCAGTGAACAAGTTCAACAACTCCATCCTTAGTAAGATCTCGCAAGAAGTGGAAACGCACATCAATGTGCTTACTTCGGCCATGCATAACTGGATTTTTAGACAGCTTAATAGTTGAGCTATTATCACACATCACAGTGGTGCAACCTTCTTGTGAGTAACCTAACTTCTTTAGAATTCTCCTTATCCAAACTGCCTGACAAGTACTGGCTGCCGCTGCCACGAACTCAGCTTCTGTAGTTGAGAGAGTAACTATAGGCTGCTTCCTTGAGGACCATGAGACTGTACCACCACTCATTAAGGACACATAACCAGAAGTACTTTTCCTGTCCTCCAAATCACCAGCATAGTCGCTGTCCGTGAATGCTATTAATTCTTCATCCCCTCTCTTCTTGTATAAAATCCCATAGTTGATAGTGCCTTTTAAATACCTGAGTGCTCTCTTGGCAACTTGTAGGTGTAGCTGTGTTGGTTTTGCCATGTATCGACTTATAAGACTTACAACAAACATCAAATCTGGTCGAGTGGCAGTGAGATACATGAGACTCCCTACTATCTGTTTGTAATATGTCTCATCAACCTTGATTCCATCTTCATCCTTGCATATTTTAAACCCCGGAACAATAGGACTGCTCACTGAATTACTTTCCTCCATACTAAAACGTTTCAAAACCTCCATGGCGTACTTTCTTTGACTGATGTAAATGCCATCAGATTTTTGCAAAACTTCAATACCAAGAAAAAAATCTCATCCTCCCCAAGTCAGTCATATCAAATTCCCTCATCATTGAATTTTTAAATTCCGACATCATAAGCTCATCATCAACAGTAAAAATAAGGTCATCCACATAAACACTAACAATTAAGATTTTACCTTCTTTGTTCCATTTGATGAATAATGTTTGCTCACTTTAGCATCTTTGAAAGCCTTCGCTGATAAAATGAGCTTCAATACGACTAAACCATGCTCGTGGGGCTTGTTTTAGTCCATATAAAGCCTTCTGCAACTTGTAGATTTTGTGCTCACTGCCTTTCTTCTCATATCCTTTTGGCTGCTCCACATAGACATCTTCATTCAGTTCACCATGAAGAAAGGCAGACTTCACATCTAGCTGATATATCCTCCAACTTCTCTGTGCTGCAAGGGCTATTATCATCCTAACAGTATCCATTCTTGCCACTGGAGCAAACACCTCTGTGTAATCCACTCCATGCTGTTGAGAATACCCTTTGGCCACCAGACGAGCTTTATACTTATCCACCTCTCCAAGCTCATTGAGTTTAGTTTTGTAGATCCATTTAACTCCTATCTTTTTAGCTCCAGTTGGTAACTCAGTTAACTTCCAAGTTTGATTCTTCTCGATTGACTTGATTTCAATGTCCATAGCCATCCGCCATTTTGAGCTCTTCACTGCCTCCTCAAAGCACAAAGGATCTGAAGATACAACTAATGCCATGTTGACCTCATTTTCTTTTTCTGACAGCCCTTCTCCACTAACATATTCTCTCATCCAAATAGGAGGTTGCCTAACTCTTCCTTTACTTGTATTAATATCTTCTTCATTTGTAGAATTTGGAGAAGAATTTCCTACTCCATCAACTTCATTTATAGAATTTGGAGAAGCATTTCCTGTTCCTTCAACTTCATCACCACCTTCACTGTCAGATTCATTTACATCATCCATATCTATACTACTCTCATCATCACCCCATTCCAAGTCCATCAGTAGTTGTTCCTCATAACTTGCATCCCAATCCCATTGTTTCTCCTCCTCAAAGATCACATCCCTACTTATTACAAAACCTCACATTTCCTTTTCCAAGCACATTCATCCTGGTATTGTTTCCCAGCTACACCAATTGTCTAAAGCTTTCATCCAACTTACTAAACGCAGCTTTATCTCCACTCATGTGATTAGAACACCCTGAGTCCAAGAACCATGCATCCTCTCGGTTGGCTTCATTCATCTCTACATACGACATTAAAAGCATTTCTTCTTGCTCGTCTAACTCTGCATAATTGGCCTCTTTATCCCAAGTTGGACATTCATATTGGAAATGGCCAAGCTTATGGCATTTGTAGCATTCAACTGTAGCTCTGTTAATGACTTGGCGCCCTCTGCCTCTACCTCTTCCTCTAAAAGTGTTTCTACCACGCCCTCTTCCTCCAAACCTTTCTTCAGAAGTCACCTTTAAGGCTTGTTCTTCTCCACTGCTTCTGTAGAATTTCTGTTCATGCACTATCAATGAACTTTGCAATTCATCGATTGAGAGTTCATCTATATCCTTAGATTCCTCAATTGAACAAACTATGTAATTGAATTTGTCAGTTAAGGATCTAAGGATCTTTTCCACAATTGTCACATCCTTCATTTGCTCCCCATATGTCCTTATTTTATTGGCAACTGACATAACTCGTGTAAAATAATCAGTGACATTCTCACCTACTTTCATTTCAAGTGTTTCAAAATCCTTCCTCAATGCTTGGAGAATTGAACGCTTCACCCTAGCATTTCCCTCGTATTTTCTCTTCATGGAGTCCCAAATTTGCTTTGAGGTGTCATTCTTCAAAATGGTCTCTAGAATGGTTCTGTCGATTGCTTGGAACAGGTAGTTCTTCACCTTCATATCCTTCAATCTCAGCTTCTCGAGTTTTTTCTGCTGTGCCTCTGTCATAGTTGCTTCTTCTGTCTCTGTATATCCTATCTCCACCAGGCTCCAATATTCTTTGGATCTCAGGAAATTCTCCATTAACATGCTCCAATGGTCGTAGTGCCCATCGAAGCGAGGTATTGCAGGTTGGACAAAATTTCCTTCACTCGTCATATCTTTCTCTCTCTCCTTTGTGTTTGCAAGTCACTCGAAAGGCTGCGGCTTTCTTTCTCTCAGGCCCAGTGGGGGCTCTAATACCAATTTGTTCTGGACAGAAAAATGAAAGCAGAAGATTAAGAACTCAAAACGAATTGAATGAATGACTTGTTTATTGAATAATAACGTTGGCTATTAAATAGCCTTACAAGAATTAACAGAAAGCAGAAATTACGGCCCATGATTTACTCTAACAGAGACATGGTAACATGGAGAAAGAAAGAGTCAAAAACAAAAACGAATCACCCTACTTAATAGGGATTTATTTAAACAGAGACTAATACTTGTCAGTCATCACCGCACATGACACAACGATGCGGTGGATCTGCTTCGACAAAGGGCGGGCATCGCCGCTGCTTCATGCATAGCGACGACGTACGCTATGGCTTTGAAGAATTTGAGATGATGGTCCAATTTTAGAGAGAGAGAGAATAATAGGAACAAGAGACAGAGAGGGAGAGATTGGTTGTGGTGTGTGGGAATTAGGGTTGGGTAGGTTGAATTTATTATAAATATATTTATTTAATAATTTCTAATTACCACCTGAATTATGAAATTAAACTTAATCCCTTTTATTTATGAAAACTGATTTTTATATCCAAGTTTCTAGCTAATTTTCCCTATTGGAAATAGAGACTAGTCTCTTTGCAAACTAGATCATAATCCAGTGGTGTAAATGATAGAAGTGAAGTAGTTTCAACTTTACTAAAAGTCGCAGTGTGAGGGTTTAATTCCTGAGATATCGAATTGGACTCGTTGTGAGCACTAGTGTACAGACAAGCTCTTATTCCTTGGCCTGTTAGGGCATACCCTGTGATTTATCTCCATCACGCTACTTCAGGGGGTTGGTGGGGGCCTTTAAGGTTGGGGTTCAACTTTTAGATCTTAAACAGTTTTTTGAAAGAAATAGTTTATCTTTTACCTCGAAGCCTATCAAGAGCAGAGACGATTGAACCATGAAGACAGTCGCCTCAGGCCCATAATTATGCAATGCAAATTTATTTATTTTTTTTTTCCTTTTGATAGTAAATAATTTTATTAAGAAAAAGGAAAGTCGGAAAATAAAATCCATCCTGACCACCACATAATATCCAGACGACCAACCTGAACCCAACAATCAAAATCCAAGACTATTTCTATTTTGTATTTTTTTATCGTTTCTTTTTTACTTTTATTCTTAAAAACCTATTAAAGTATTAGATTATAATAAATAAATCTCTCAATTACAGTTTATAACTTTGATTACAGCATGAAATTTGAAGAATGTACCATTTTCTAACTTGTCCACCGGCTGATCTGATACGGGATGTACATAAAATCACGGCACAGCTTCTATTTCTATCTTGTCCACTGCATCTCATTTCCTCTTCAAACTCAACCCGCTACCTTACTTCTCTCTTAGACAGTGCCTTCACCTCTTTCGACTCTTGAATTCAAGAAAATCTTCTACTTCTCTCTTAGACGCTGCCTTCTTTAACCCCCTACAACTCTTGAATTCAAGAAAATCTTTTACTTCTCTCTTAGACAGTGCTTTCTTTTACCCCCTTCAACTCTTGTATTCATGAAAATATTTTACTTCTGTCTTAGACATTGCCTTCTTTCACCCCCTTAAACTGTTGAATTCAAGAAAATCTGTAACAACAGAGAAAACATGATTCATTCAGAACTCATCGAAGAAGTGTTATCACACTTATCAGTGGCATCCCTTTTGCGATTCAGGTGTGTATCAAAAAGTTGGTGCTGCATAATTGACAGTGATCATTTCATTAAAAAGCATTTGAATCAATCCATCATAGCACGCTCCAATCACTCCCTCATTTATGGAAGCATGGAGATGGGACTTTATTCCGTAAATTTGGATTCATTTGACACAGCCCATCTCATTCAACCCCCAGTTGATTCCACAGATTTTCAATTGATATGCATGTCCAACTATTGCAATGGGTTATTTCTAGTAGTAGCTGCTGAATCCCTTGTACTGCAGAACCCCTTTTCAAGAAGACACAAGAAGTTACCTGACGCCTTCCCGATTGAATTCCCAACTGATTATTCATCGTTATATGCCATAGAGTATTATGGGCTGTGTTACGATCCAAGAAAGGATGACTATAAAGTTGTTCGGGTTGTTGAATTTCACAACTTAACGGGGCAGTGGACGTTCTCTGAAACAGAAATTTTAAGCTTGAAATCGAATTCTTGGAACAAGGTTGAGCGGTTTCCTTATCCATTGCCGTTGCTTGATCATCGCTGGGAAGTATATCTCAATGGGGCATTGCATTCGCTTCTTAAGGATATTTCCCATGCGTATTCGGGCAAGACATTTAAAATTATGGGTTTTAGTGTTGAGAATGAGAACCATTATGAGTTGATGCTGCCAACAAAAATTCCTATCGAGAATATTAGCATGAATTTGAATGTTCTAGGAGGGTGTCTTTCTTTAGCAACGGCTAGCGAGTTTCATGTGGGTATATGGGTGATGAAGAAATATGGAGTTGAGAAATCTTGGACTCAATTGCTATCAGTTGGTCAGATAACGATTAATTCAAATGGTAATTTGTCTTCTTTGAGGCCATTGACTTATTCGAAGAATGGTGAGAAGGTTCTTTTATATGTCAATGAAGAAAAGCTTGTTTGGTATGATTTACGTAGAAATGTCATTGTTGATGTTCTTCCCATTTCATTTTGTCCTGAGCTTTGTGTTCAAAGCCTTGTTTGGCCTAAGGAAAGGTGATGGGACCAAGAAACATGGATAAAGGACAAAAAATAGAAAGGGGATTTGATAAAGTAAATTGTATCCATTTCTTTTCATAGTTCGCTTCAATCATTCATAGATATAGCCATTCCCATCCCCTTTAATTGTTGGGAGCCTAAACCATCACTAGAGTTGGTAGAGGTCGTGTAGGAATCTCGACTTTGTTTCATAATCGACAGCCAAAGTCAGGGAATAGCTTCTCTTGCTACAACATTTTCTTTTGCATATCTGGTTTGTTACCTGCATAATATAGGCATAAGATTATTAACATCCTTGAATATGAAAACACACAAAAAATGAAATAAAATACAGGCACATACAAATATTTGCTCAAAATAACCATCCAATGGTACAGTAGAATGATGCAACAGCAGGCCAGGTGCCATATTGTAAAGTACAATTGCAATTTCACAAGCATCATGGAACTCCATAAAACTTACATTTTCATCAATATACTATGATGGAAAAGAGAGGGTGACGTTTTTCCCTTCAATGCTCCAGTCATCATCTAGCTAAGAGTTCATACATAAGAGGCCAATTTTGAAAAGGAGGCTGCTATTTACTGTCTTCTCTTGATGATAAAGAACATATAGTTCAGATGCAACACTTGACTGTGTTTTGTAGGTGGGCATCAATGAAAAATTCAATTGATGTGCTTAACTCAAATCCTAAGTTCCTGTCCTCTGTTGCTTTTGTTTGGCTGAGAACAAACAATATCATTACATGTTTATAATGATCAAAATGAATAAAAGTAAAACATCATAGAACTTGTAGGTTGCTTTAGAGATTAGAGACATCACTTGTAAAAAATCTGCAGTGCATTGATTTTTCTCTTTAATTTCCTTTGTCTTCCCTTGGTATAATGGTTTTACAATATATATCCATGGTCTTCAATGGCACGCTTTGCCATTTTATTGATGTCGTACAATTTCCTCTTCCAAAGGCTATCTATGGTCACTTCTTGTCGTGCATAATAAAATGGAATTGGATGTACTTCACCCCTAAAGATAATGCTTGAGGATCTAACAAAGGCCTCATAAGTCTGTTATTCTCATTTGAATTTCATCTACTCAGAAAAGGCTTTGCCTTTCAAAAAAACAAGAGCTGCATGGTACTCTGTTCATGTTTCTCAAGCAAGTGATGTAGCTATGCATGAAGTCGCTCAATAACCATAAAACGTGACTCAAGATGTAGAGGGGGAACAATCTTCATGAGACCATTCCCATGTGGTTCATCGGAAGCCATTTCTTGGCTCTTTCGATGCGGTGCTGCTCTTATCTTATTTTCATGGTTTCTTGGTCAGCTTGTTACTTCCTTTATTCTAGTCTGAGTAATGTATGGGACAAAGTTTAAAAAACAATCCATCTATCACTAAAATATACTGGCGAATGAACTTTGATCATTATATCTTTTGACCTCCAAAATATAGGTGGTTACGAGGTTATGACTAAATAACATTGCTTATTGTGTTCTCTTTCCTGCCAATTTTTGGATCAAAGGGATTGCATGGAGTCAGAGGGAGAGAGAATTTTCTCCTTCCGACATTCTCAAACCAAATAAATGGCTACACTATGCATCAACCCTCTTCCAGTTACTCTGTAGACCATTATAGGAAACATAAAATGAAAAGTCCATATTATAAGAGAACAAAATAGCTATAACGAAGTCATTAGTGCTTACATTGGATGTGCATCCTCATTAGTCTTGCTGCTACTGATCGTATCATATACCTTCATTAACCACAATATGCACAAGTAACCATTTCCTGGTTAAGATATTAGTGTAGAATTTCAAAGATCGAATTGTTAATTTTACAACAATCGCATTAAGAATCATCACGTGCATAGGTCATAACAGTAAAAGAAAAAAATAGGCTTTGCAGCCACAAGAATGAATACAAGGACATCAAAATGATGATGGAGAAGGGTCCGAAAATTCGAACAACTTTAGATACTCACAGGTACACGTTATCAATTGAAACTCATTCCGGCAAAGTGAGCATAGGCTTGTGATGGTAGACCCGTTGTCAATGCATGCAGAACAGAACCTGAAATTTAAACGATAAGTCCACATCACCCATTAAAATTAGCATCAAGCTAAGTTGATATAATAAAAAACTAGCCACAATAGCTGAGATTAGCTCTACCAAGAACGCATTCCTCATGCAGCTAATAATATACCACATATAAGCTACACAATTGTTGGATGAATCAGAAGCCTTCGCATACAATAGAAGAACCACAACCGTGGGAAGGATCGATGCTTTTTTATTCCCCTATTCCATCTTCCCTTTTAACTAACACAATGCATATGAAAGTAACTTATTTAACTTCAAGAAACACGAAATTGTATAATAAAAACAGCAAAACTCTACTAGTACATGAAAAATTGGATGTTATATACAATATACTGCAAGTATCAGTCAAGAACTCAAGCTCTAAATATGAAACATGCCTCACACCAAACTAAATATGGTTCTTTGCTATCAATCGTCTTCATTACTTCCATATTGTTGGCATAATGATTGTAATCCACTGCTTGCAACGGATCCTGCCTCCTGATTCTTCGGCTCCTCCTTTCCTGCCTTGTTACTATTGGAATCAGGAAGTGGTTTCTTAAGAATAGAAACTTTGACCGATGAAGACTTCAGAATGAATTTACCATTATTTCGACTCTTGAAGCTGACATGAACACTGCCTTTCGGTAAAGAATCCGTTGGGTTAGGGAGCTCGGTGGATAGCTTTCTTCTCTTCTCAGGTGAAAACACGGTTAAATCTTCTTCATCATCAATCCTTCGTAAAATATGCTCTCGTGCCCCCCTAAACACGGATTCTATAAGAGCTTCATCCTCTTCTTCCAATTTCCTTTCATTCGCCTCATTTTTCTGTTGCAAAGCTTCGAGCATCGAATCTCCACTCACCCTTTCATGTCTCGAGTTCACAGACTTGATATCATCCAAAGCAACTAGGATATCCAGTCCCCTCTTGGAGTCCAAATATCTATTCTCCAATGATTTCATCACATCTCCCATATCATCTATATTCCTTTTCTTTTTCTCTTCATCCTCTGCACGCCAAGGTTCGAAATTTCTCGTGGCACCGCACTCAAGAGCATAATCCGAATTCTGTGGATCCGTCTTGAATGTTATTTCCGCTGAGCATTTGCTGCATTTGATATAGAACCTAAAAACTCGTATTCCCAAATAAGTCTCCCCGATGGCTTTTTCTTTGCGCGAATTGAACTTAGTACCCTTATACATGTAGTTCCCACAAGTTTTACAACGAATGCTCATGGGAAGCATATTGCGGATAGGAAATTGCTCTTTCTTTGGCTGCTGCGGCCGTGGAATCTTTGCCGGATCGAAGTCCGGGGGATAATACTTGTTTAGCACTTTTCTTTCTCCCATTCTAGTAGAAATACAGACAGAACAATTTGTAAATGTTAATGGATTCAGCTCAAATGGTGTTGATGTTGATCGGATAGATAATACTTCTCAAATCTTTCGTTCCGAACAAACTGAACTCTCGAGAAATTTTGAGAAGCGTTGGCATGCATAAACTCGGGGAGCAAGAAAAATTAGATGATTTTGTATTATTTTATAAAATTAGAATTGATCTACTATTTATAATATGAAATTGATTTTATTTTTTTTTTCGTTTGTTTATTTGGAGAAGAATACTAATCTAAAAGGACTTTTCTTTTAATTATAATTCAAATGAACTACAGTTAATAATTAATTAAAACTCATATAATTTTTGATTCCTACTCCCAAAAGAACTCTTTTCTTTTGATTATTTATAATATGGAATGGAAATGATTTTGGATTAAGGAAATATCCTAATTTCAAAAAAACTCCTTTTTTTTCATTTATTTATTTGGTGAAGGATACTAATCTAAAAAGGACTTTCCTTTTAATTCTAATTCAAATGAAAAAATTTCAAATACTAATGACATGCATTTCAATTTAATTAATCAATCAATCTACCATTGATAAAACACTTGTAAAAATTGTGAGAAGAATCCAAGTGAATTAGTGACAAGGAACTTTCACTAAGCGGATATCCAATGTGGCTCCACCTTATGTTGTCGTGTTACACAATTGTTTGCCAAGTAACATGAAGATATCCATATTCCCGTATTTTAAAATTTAAACCCACCAATCACTTGATTCATCCTAATTTACTAATTTTGTCCATTCTAAATATTAGAAATTGAAACTAGTCTCTTTGAAAACTTGATCTTAAACAATTTTTTTGGAAGAAATAGTTTATCTTTTACCTCGGAGCCTCCCAAAAGCATAGCCGATTGAACCATGAAGCCATTCGACAATGTTATTTGTACCCGACGTTTGACACGTTGGGTTATCTGACGTGAGTGAGGGGATCGTGCCCACACATTTATTGGTGTGGGGCTCCAACCCCCTATATGAGTAGCAAGTAACCTGGAGTGTCAAACTCCGAGTACATGTAACAAAACTCATGAAGCCATCTAAGTTGTCGCCTAAGGCCCATAATTATATAATGCCCTAGAATTTTTAAGTTTATAATTTTATTTTTTGTGGAAATTACACAATGACCGGTCTTTAAAGATCATTTTACAAAAATGAGGTACAAAGTTTAATTAATCATAAATCAAGTTTTAATTATACATTTTAATATTATAATTAACCCACCCCAAGCCTTAAATTTGTTTCCCATTTCTAGATCTTTCTCATTTCCTATCTATCTGCCAGTTTCTCCTATTCGACGACACGATATTCAGTGACGTCAACATGGAACTTTTAGCGTTGAGGAGCAGCCATCATCGATGTTGTTGCACGCGGATCAATGGTTTCATTGGTACACAAAGATCGCAACGATCGTGGTTTCGCCTGCGCCGTTGCATTTGCCTAGGGATGTCAGCCCCACTTCTTCTCTTCTCAGCTTTGTCGATTGACACTGTTGCGCACGGCAGCATCACTACAATGTGGTGAGTTCGATGCATTGTGGTGGTGAGTCTAGTGTGGGGGATCTAGGTATCGGTGTTGGTGAGTTTGGTGCAGTGCATTTCATGTGTTTGGGTGGTGTTGGTGACATTGTGGGATGACGGTATGGTGATGGTGGTGTGGTGGATTAAGGTAGGACGACAATGGTGGTATGGTAGCGATGATGCAACCGGTGCTCGTGTTGATAGCGGTGATTTGGGTGGTGTTGGTGAGGTTGGGAGTAGTGTATTGTTGGGTGTGTTTGGTAGTGGCTGTAGTGGTGGTGTTGGTAGTGGTAGGATCTGATTTGTTGTTGGTTTTTGGATGATGGTAGTTGCGATGGTGGTGGTGGTCATGGAAGTGGCGACGGTGGTTGTTGGTGGGACAACGTGGGATATGGGTGTTTGTCAGTGGTTGTGGTGGTGTGGTGCAAGCGTTGGGATGTGGTATTGCCGGTGCGATTTTCAGCAATGGAGGTGTTGCGATGATGGTGGTGGTTAATGATGGTGATGGTGGCAAGCAATTGGCAGTGGTGTTGGTGGCGGTGGTCTATGACCAATTATTTGGTGTCCATGACCAAGTATTTGGTAGATTGTGACATAAAAATTTGATAATTTATGATCGAAAAATAATATGTGACCAACAAATTTGAAAATATGTGACCAATAAATTTGAAAATATGCGATCGATATAAAACTGTGACCTATAATTTTTTTTGATTTATGACTGACGAAATAAACTTTAACTTATAAAATTTTTGATTTGTGACATCAAAATATTTTGTGACCAATTAATTTGATAATATGTGGTCAATAAATAAATTGTGGCCTATAATTATATATTTGTGCCCATTAATTGTATAATTGTGACCTTGTTATATTTAATTAATGAATATTTTTAATTAATTAACTAAGAAACCTAATTTTTGCATTTTATAAACTTAAAACTTCGTTTTTGAAGTCTCTAAACTTAAGACAAGATTTGTGAATTTTTTCCCATTTATAGTGAATAATTTTATTGAGAAAGAGGAAAGTCTAAATAAAATACATCCCGACCACCACATAATACCCAGACGGTCAACCCAAACCCAACAATGAAAATATAAGACTTTTTCTATTTTATATTGTATTTTTCCTCATTTCCTTTTACTTTTATTCTTGAAAACCTCGAAAAGTATTAGATTATAATCAAATCAATAAATCTCTTATTCATTATATCGAAGGAAAATGTCACATTAACAGAAGAATTTGGTCTGATTGTTTGATAGAAGATGGTTTGGCATTTTGTGATTGGATCAGAAATGTGACTGTATTTTAAACAATCCAACGATAGAATACCACTTTATATAGAAGCAACTAAAACAAGAAATTTCGAACAATATTATTCTTTAAGCATATGCTGGGAAAAAGTCAACTCTTTTTATGTAATTGAGAATTTCTATTTGACTGATTATTTTCCTCTAGAAAAATTTCTCTTTAATACTTTATTCTGAAAATAAATTGAAAACTTGCACTACATACCGTATATTTTAAATTTTCGCTATAAATATTGTAGTATTGTACCAAAAATTAACTTTTCATAAAAAATAATTTCGAGTTCTCCTTTAAAAATTACCAAGTAGGCCAAAATATGCATAATAGAAAATAACAAATCACAAACTTTGTAGGGAAAAATTCATAGTTTAGGTGTATCGTTTACACCAATTCACAAATCAGATGAATAGCTCAAAAATTCAAAATTCAGGTATCTATAAAATTAATTGAAAATATTTATTAATTAAGTATAATAAAGTCACAGTTATACAATTAATGATTACGGATTCATAATTATAGATCACGAATTTATTTTCTGATCACATATCATTAAATTAATTAGTCACATATTATTTTGAGGTCACAGATCTAAAATTTACATGTCTCAGATTACTTCAAGGTTAAATTAATTGGTCACAAATTGTCAAATTCTTAGGTCACACTTAAACAGTTAGTCACAAATAACTAAATGATTGGTCACATGCATCAAATAGTGGTCACATACCAGCACAAAACATCCACCACACAAACACTATTACCATCAGCATAGAAAACACCATCTAAACCCCAACTCAAACCGCCAAATCTATGACCACAAAATCGCTATCACCATCACCACCACACGAAACACCGTCCAAACCCACAAAATTGCCACCAACCCAAACTATTGCTTCACGCAGGTTGCTACAGTGTTTTGGCGATTTCATTTCACCATCGAAGTGGTGGATCTGCTTCGCGATTTCATTTCACTACCTCAACTTGTGGTAATTCACAAAGGGAAAAGTGCTACGACATGGTGCTTCTTCATTACAGTAGTACCAACGAAGGGTACTCCGACAACGACATGCTTCGATGGCGACGGCTTCTGACGAAGAGGAGCGGGGAAGTGATTAGGGTTTTTAATTGAATTGGATGGGTTAATTATATATAATACTTGATTTTTGTATAAATAAATTTCATCCTTGAATTTTGAATTTGGAAGTTTTAGTACCTGTTTTTCTGTAATTTCCTATTTATAATATGACTTTTTTTTAGATTTGTTTATTTGGAGAAAAATAATAATCTAAAAGGACTTTTCTTTTAATTCCAATTCAAATCAAATGCAATTAATAATTAATTATAACTCTTATAATTTTTGAACCCTACTTCCAAAAGAACTCTTTTCTTTTGAATATTTATAATATGGAATGGAAATGATTTTGGATTAAGGAAATATTCTAATTTCAAAACAACTCCTTTTTTTTTCTCATTTATTTATTTGGAGAAGGATACCAATCTAAAAATGACTTTCCTTTTAATTACAACGTAAACTTTAAAGAATGTATCATTTTCAGTTTTCTCATGTTCCTCTTCCATTATTGCCTTGTCCTCGAATATTGAATTGATATATTTTACTTAATTGGTGCAGACTAAAAAGAGAATTTTAACTTAACTAATTTTCAAATTTTTGGTGTGTGACTATCCGATATGATGTTTTTGTTTGTAGGTAGCTAAATTAGTTAGTAAGAGATTTCAAAGTGAAATATATGCTTATTGATGTTGCTATGATCAATTAAATTGTCATTTCTATATCTTTTTTTTCTTTTTGAAGGGAAGAGGATTTGTATCTGCTATGTTTTCTGCCAAAGAAAATGCAAATGAATGGAAGTAGAATCCTTGTTCCTTGACGACGAAGAAATTTAATGAAAATGTTAACGATAATGATCAAATACAATCATCTGAATTATCCTTTAGAATTGATTTTTCTAACAAATTTGTATTCAATTTTAAGAAATTAAAAACCATTGGAAGAATATGTTTGAAAAAATGTATGGTTTGAATATTTGTGAAATTTACAAATTACACCCCCTATATAGGGTATAATTACAATTTACGTACTAGACTTTATTAATTTACATTTTGTGTACAGTATTTTGCACCCAAAAAAAAAAAAGCCATTTGTTGTAAATTTTAAAAATATGTAATTATAAATAGCCAAACAAATAAAAATATCTTAACTAAAATAACAAATTACACCTTCTATATTTAACGTTTTGTAGACTATATTTATAATTATTTTTCTTGAAATATATTTTTTGTATAAGATTTATAAAATGTATTATCTTCTTTTCCTAAATTTTAATGTCAAATCAATAAAATATTACTTTAGTAAGTGCTTGTTTGGTAGAAATTTTGTTAATTGATTTTTTGACCATTAGAGATAAAGTGGGTCTCACTTGCGAGAGAAGAATTCAAAAATGACGGCTGAAATAGTGAAATAACGGTTAAAAAATTGATTTTAATTGGGTTTTAAGTCGTACCAAACATGCTCAAAGTTACTAAGCGCCTGTTTGTTTCTCATTTTTGGAAGAATGAGAATGAAAAATATAGTTGTTATGGACCCTACACAAGAGATAAAAATTTAAATTTGGTGGTTAGATGTGATGGATAACGGTCATATTTTTCATTTTATGAGGAGAGAATGAGAACCAAACAAGGGCTAAGTATTGAAAAATTAAGAGCCTGTTTGGGAGTGATTTTGAGAATTGATTTTTTGACCGTTAGGAAAAAAGTGGGGTCCACCTGTGAGAGAAGAAATCAAATATGACGGTTGGAATAGTAAAATAAAGGTCAAAAAATCAATTTTTTAGGTGAAAAAATCGCTCCAAACAAGCCCTAAGAAAATGCCTCAGTTGACTCTTCCAACGTCCGAAAGTCAAATAGAAATTCTTAATTTCTGTTATATTAAAGGAAAAAAAAAAGTTTCAATAGAAAATTTTAAAAATGATCAATAAAATAATTTAGAATGTTATTTTGTAGCTATAAAGTTGAGTAATTTTGCAACTTAAATATTTGTTATGAATACTTGCATAGTTTTATTGATATCTATTACAAATGAATTTTTCCTATTTGAGAGAAAGCTTCATAGGAGATAATAATTTATAAAAATAACAAATATATATAACTCTGTGTAAAAAATGAAAATGGAAAAATTTTATGTAAATAATGCTGTGAGAGGACTAAAATGAATCAATGTAATACAAAGTTTTGTGATTCGTTATTTTCAATCATGGATATTTTGGCCTACTTGGTTATTTTTGAAGGAGAATTTGAAATTATTTTTTTAGCAAAAGTTAATGTTTGGAACCATACTGAAGTATATATAGTGTAAATTTAAAATATATGGTATGTAGTGTAAATTTTCAATTTTTTTCAGAATAAAGTACTAAAGAGAAATTTTTCTACAGGAAAATAATCAGTCCTATATAAATTCTCAATTACATATAAAGAGCCGACTTTTTCCCAATATATGCTTAAAGAATAATATTGTTCGAAATTTATTGTTTTAGTTGCTTCTATATAAAGGACTTTTTCAAAATTGAAGTAGATAAAATCAATATTTGATATAATTATAATATAACGCGACATTCTATCGTTAGATTGTTTAAAATACAGTCACTTTTCTAATCCAATCACAAAATGCCAAACTATCTTCTATCAAACAATCAGACCAAATTCTTCTGTTAATGTGACATTTTCCTTCGATATAATGCATAAGATATTTATTGATTTGATTATAATCTAATACTTTATGAAGTTTTCAAGAATAAAGGTCAAAGGAAATGAGGAAAAATACAATACAAAATAGAAAAAGTCTTAGATTTTGATTGTTGGGTTTGGGTTGACTGTCTGGCTATTATGTGGTGGTCGGGATGGATTTTATTTGGACTTTCCTCTTTCTCAATAAAATTATTCACTATTAAATGGGAAAAAATAAAAATAAAATTTAAAAATTCTGGGGCATTATATAATCATGGGCCTTAGGCGACAACCTAGATTTCATGGTTCAATTGGCTATGCTTTTGGGAGGGTTCGAGGTAAAAGATAAACTATTTCTGTTACGTGTTGTCATACTCGGCCAATCGACGTGGGCTTATGGCCCACTCAATCCGAACCACGTGGCACTCTAGTGGAAGTGGGCTAAATGGCCGATGCCCTTTATGCCGAAGCTAGTGAAATTAACCGAGCCTCATCTGCTGAGGCCTGTGAAAATTGCTGAACCCCTACAGCGGAAGTATTACGTGTCTTGCAGAAGCCTTGAATCTGAAGTAGAAGCCTTCGAACCATGAAGGGACGTCTTCCATGATCACTTCTCCCAAGAGATCTCCTACATAAGGATCTGGTTAGAATGATTGATGAAACGTTTGTCATAAGTACATATGTCAGGTCTTATCACTAGCATGGGGACTCTGCACAAGCAATAATGCACAACAAGCTAACAAGTCAAGAGTGATACCTAGGATTGGATGTTTGAATTGAGAAGATGAGGTCACATGTCACCTCATCTAAGGGCTCTCATTTCACATGTAACACTATAAATACTTCCCTTGTATAATATCGAAAGGCTAATGCAAGAATCAATACAAAAAATCACATTTTACTCTCTTATTATCTTTACAATATAATGCGAGTTCACACGCATTTACATTCACTTTCATGAGCACCGATTGGTAATTATTGTACAATCGGATTAAGAACGTCCCGCCAGATTCTGAACGTTCTCGTCCCGCGTCTTTGAGCTACTCCTACGCCCCTGATTCGTTCGTTCTAGACCGTCCACGTGTCTTAGCGTGTAGGACCTTCGCTCATGTGTGCGCGGGTGGGTCCGACATCTGTTGGCAACACTTTTTGGAGTCAACAATTTCTTCAAAAAAAAAAATGTTTAAGATCAAGTTTTCAAAGAGACTAGTTTCAATTTCTAATATTTAGAATGGACTAAATTAGCAAATTAGGATGAATCAAGTGATTCGTGGGTTTAAATTTTAAAATTTAGGTATATGGATATCTTCATGGTATTTGGTAAAAAATTGTGTAACACGACAATATAAGGTAAAGCCACATTGGATATCCGCTTGGCGAAAGTTCCTTGTCACTAATTCACGTGCGCTCTTCTCACAATTTTTACAAGTGTTTTAAAAATGGTAGAATGATCGATTAATTAAATTGAAATGCATGTCACTAATATTTGAAATTTTTTCATTTGAATTAGAATTAAAAGGAAAGTCCTTTTTAGATTAGTATCCTTCTCCAAATAAATAAATGGAAAAAAGAAAAGAGTTGTTTTGAAATTAGGATATTTCCTTAATCCAAAATCATTTCCCAAATTATAAATAATCAAAAGAAAAGAGTTCTTTTGGGAGTAGGATTCAAAAATTATACGAGTTTTAATTAATTATTAACTGTAGTTTATTTGAATTGGAATTAAAAGAAAAGTCCTTTTAGATTAGTATTCCTCTCCAAATAAACAAATGAAAAAAAACAATTATAAATAGTCGATCAATTCTAATTTTATAATACAATACAAAATCATCTAATTTTTCTTGCTCCCCAAGTTTTTGCATCTGCCAACGTTTCTCAAAATTTCTCGAGAGTTTCAGTTTGTTCGGAACAAAAGATTTGAGAAGTATTATCCATCTGATCAACATCAATACCATTTGTGCTGAATCCATTAGCATTTACAAATTGTTCTGTCTGTATTTCTACTAGAATGGGAGAAAGAAAAGTGCTAAACAAGTATTATCCACCGGACTTCGATCCGGCAAAGATTCCACGGCCGCAGCAGCCAAAGAAAGAGCAATTCCCTATCCGCAATATGCTTCCCATGAGCATTCGTTGTAAAACTTGTGGGAATTCCATGTATAAGGGTACTAAGTTTAATTCGCGCAAAGAAAAAGCCATCGGGGAGACTTATTTGGGAATTCGAGTTTTTAGGTTCTATATTAAATGCAGCAAATGCTCAGCGGAAATAACATTCAAGACAGATCCACAGAATTCGGATTATGCTCTTGAGTGCGGTGCCACGAGAAATTTCGAACCTTGGCGTGCAGAGGATGAAGAGAAAAAGAAAAGGATTATGGATGATATGGGAGATGTGATGAACTCATTGGAGAATAGATACTTGGACTCCAAGAGGAAACTGGATATCCTAGTTGCTTTGGATGACGTCAAGTCTATGAACTCGAGACATGAAAGGGTGAGTGGAGATTCGATGCTCGAAGCTTTGCAACAGAAAAGCGAGATGAATGAAAGGAAATTGGAAGAAGAGGATGAAGCTCTTATAGAATCCGTGTTTAGGGGGGCACGAAAGCATATTTTACGAAGGATTGATGATGAAGAAGATTTAACCACGTTTTCACCAGAGAAGAGAAGAAAGCTATCCACCGAGCTTGCTAACCCAACGGATTCTTTACCGAAAGGCAGTGTTCATGTCAGCTTCAAGAGTCGAAATAATGGTAAATTCATTCTGAAGTCTTCATCGGTTACAGTTTCTATTCTTAAGAAACCACTTCCCGATTCCAATAGTAACAAGGCAGGAAAGGAGAAGCCGAAGAATCAGGAGGCGGGATCCATTGCAAGCAGTGGATTACAATCATTATGCCAACAATATGGAGGTAATGAAGACGATTGATCGCAAAGAACCATCCACTTGTGTCAGATTGGTAGTGTAATTGTATTTGTATTTAGTTTGGTGAGAGGCTTGTTTCATAGTTAGAGCTTGATTTCTTGACTGATACTAGCAGTATATTGTATATAGCATCCAATTTTTCATGTAGATTTTTGCAGTTTTTTATCATACGATTTTGTGTTTCTTGAAGCTAAATAATTTACTTTCATATGCATTGTGTTAGTAAAAAGGGAAGATGGAATAGGGAAATAAAAAATCATCGATCCTTCCCACGGTTGTGGTTCTTCTACTGTATGCGAAGGCTTCTGATTTATCCAACAATTGAGTAGCTTATATGTGATATATAATTAGCCGCTTGAGGAATGTGCCCTTAGTAGAGCTAATGTCAGATTGTGGCTAGTTTTTGATTATATCAACTTAGCTCGATGCTAATTTTAATGGGTGATGTGGACTTATCGTTTAAATTTCAGGTTAATTTCAGGTTCTGTTCTGCAAGCATTGACAACTGGTCTACCATCACAAGCCTATGCCCACTTTGCCAGAATGAGTTTCAATTGATAACATGTGTACCTGTGAGTATCTAAAGTCGTTCGAATTTTTGGACCCTTCTCCATCATCATTTTGATGTCCTTGTGTGTTCACACTTTTGGCTGCCAAGCCTGTCTGTTTCTTTTACTGTTACGACCTATGCACGTGATGATTCTTAACGCGATTGTTATAAAATTAACAATTTGATCCTTGAAATTCTACACTAATATCCTAACCAGGAAATAGTTACTTGTGCATATTGTGGTTAATGAAGGTATATGATACGATCAGTGGCAGCAAGATTGATAAGGATGCACATCCAATGTAAGCACTAATGACTTTGTTATAGCTATTTTGTTCTCTTATAATATGGACTTTTCATGGTATGTTTCCTATAGTGGTCTACTGAGTAACTGGAAGAGAGTTGGTGCATAGAGAAGCTATTTGTTTGGTTTGAGGATGTGGGAAGGAGAAAATTCTCTCCGACTCCATGCAATCCCTTTGATCCAAAAATTGGGAGGAAAGAGAACACAATAAGCAACGTTATTTGTTCATAACCGAGGACATACTTGTAACCACCTATATTTTGGAGGTCAAAGGATATAATGATCAAAGTTCATTCGCCAGTACATTTTAGTTATAGATGGATTGTTTCTTGAACTTTGTCCCATATTATTACTCTGACTAGAATGAAGGAAGTAACAAGCTAAGCAAGAAACCATGAAAATAAGATAGAGCAATAGAGGGTATGCCCGGTGTACTTGTATATGAAAGTTTTGATCAATGAAATTTACTTTTACTGATAAAAGAAAAAATGATAAGAGCAGCAGAGCATTGAAAGACCCAAGAAATGGCTTTGGATGAACCACTTATAAATAGTCTCATGAAGATTGTTCCCCTCTACATCTTGAGTCACGTTTTATGGTTATTGAATCACTTCATGCATAGTTGCATCACTTGCTTGAGAAACATGAACAGAGTTCCATGTAGCACTGGTTTTCTTGAAAGACAAAGCCTTCTCTGAATAGACGAAATTCAAATGAGTAAAATAGACTTATGAGACCTTTGTTAGATCCTCAAGCATTATCTTTAGGGGTGATGTACATCCAATTCCACTTTAAGACCCATTTATGCACAACAGGAAGTGACCATATTTAGCCTTAGGAAGACGAAACTGTAAAACATCAAATGGCAGAGCATGCCATTGAAGACAATGGATATATATTGTAGAACCATTATACCAAGGAAAGACAAAGGAAATAAAAGAGAAAAATCAATGAACTGCTGATTTTTTACAAGTGATGCCTCTAATCTCTAAAGAAACCTACAAAACACAGTCAAGTGTTGCGCCTGAACTAGACGTTCTTTATCATCACGAGAAGAAAATAAATAGCATCCTCCTTTTCAAAATTGGCATCTTATGTATGAACTCTTAGCTAGATGGTGCCAATCCTATAATTTTTGTTTTCTCAATTAAGAAAAGCACTTGGATCTAATATTGCCAGCCAGACACTTCCACCACACCTTGACACCAACCTGGAATGGATTGTGGAGCCTGAGAAGGCCTTGGGAACCCGGCAATCACCCAGAGGACACCGTCACCGTCCTGTGTTTAAGGGGCACCAAAGCATATTATAAGAAATGAGGCGAATGAAAGAAAATTGGAAGAAGAAGATGAAGCTCTTATAGAATCTGTGTTTGAGGGGGGCACCAGAAGAAGATTTGCCTGTATTTTCACCTGAGAAGAGAAGAAAGCTATCTACTGAGCTTCCTAACCCAACGGATTCTTCAAGGAAAGGCAGGTTTCTTGACAGCTTCAAAAGAAGAAATATACCATTCACTCTAGAGTCTTCATCCGTCACAATTTCTATTCTTAAGAAACCACTTCCTGATTCCAATAGTAACAAAGCAGGAAAGGAAGAGTCAAAGAATTAGGAGGCAGGATCCATTGCAGGCAGCGGATTACAATCATTATGCCAACAATATGGAAGTGATGAAGACGATTGATAGCAAAGAACCATCCCACCTGTGCCAGATTGGCAATGTAATTGTATTTGTATTTAGTTGGGGGTAAGGCATGTTCCGTAGTTGGATCTTGAGTTTTTGACTAATACTTGGAATATATTATATTTAGCATCCTATTTTTCGTGTACTAGTAGATTCTTGCTTTTTTATTACACAATTTCATGTTACTTGAGGTTAAATAAGATACTTTCATATGCATCGCATTAGTAGAAAGAGAAGACGCAATAGGGGAATAAGTATATTTTACCCCCGGTTCAAAGACACCTTATTCCCAAGGTGGAAATTAGGAAATTGCTGGATGATTGAGGTGAGGCCACAGATTCTCAAGATGCTTCTGATTCAGGGAGTCTCTTCCTCTGGAGCAGAACCTCTTATCCTGGAGGGCATCCTACGAGTGATTCTCGGATTCCCTAGACCTTTTCAGGCTCCACGATCCATTCCAGGTTGGTATCAAGGTGTGGTGGCAGTGTCTGGCTGGCCATATCTTTATTGTCAATAATGGATATGGAAAATGAGATCACTGCCTTGAAAGGAAGGACCATGAAACTTTTAAGAGGAGGTTGAGCTTTGACTTGATGAAAGAAGTGCTCTCTAGCAAGAAATATACTGTCCGAAAGAAGAAATGATGACTTGAACAAAAGTATATTTTAGTTTTGGAGTAGGTAAATGCATTAGGCATTACCCCAATGTCATTGGGATCATCAGTTATGGTATTGAAGGATGAGAATTTAAATCTGAAGGAAACTTGCTCTAGAAAACAAAATGAGAAAGTAAATTTCTTGAAGAAACTGGAAATATTGGAGCAGTTTCTTGAGAAAACTTCTATATTGGAAATCTCCTTATCATATTTGAATGCTGAACTAGGGATGGTCGGAGAACGGATGGAAGCACTGATCAATCCTACCGATCTCTTTTAGAGGAAAAATCCTTCATTCACGACTTTATGACTTCATAGATATATTTCCCGGTTGTTTATATCCTCTGCCAAGTGGGTCTCCGTTAAGTCGTGGTTGAAGGTTGAGAACTCAGGGGGCTTTAGCTAGGATTTTGATGATATTGTTGGCGTTGGCAGTGGTGGAGAAGCATAGAACAACGATCGCCACAATGGTGGCACAGCGAAGTTGCATTATGGTCATAGGCTCCAAAGGAGAATGAGAGTTGATACTCTTATCGCGCGCCAACGGCTTCTTTTCACCAAGATGAAGCATAGAAGTGTAGAAATTCCTAGAAAAGCATTTGATTCTGCGAATTTGATGCATTAAAATAAAATATTACATCCAAGTTGTAGTATGTGAACCCATAATTAATTTTGCATGTCGATGTAGATGAATCGATGTTCTTTGAGAGCACGGCAGCCCAGGTAGAAGAAAACGAATCAAGAAAATGCGCCAGATTTAAAAGTATAATTCTGATTTTTAAGAAATTTTGAGAGATGTGAGCTGTACTCACTAGGGTACTTTTTCTAGCGCCAAGCTATGATGTTCAAAAATGCCGTGGTCAATTTTAATCAGCTTAATTGATAATTTGAATGAGGTAATCAGCTGAAATAGCAAGAAAAAAAGGAATTTGCATTCATAGGAGTGTATTGGAGAGAATACATTGAGTCCTCTAGGAAAATACCCTTTGCACATATTTATAGATTTCTAATCAGGCAACTTGACCACTTAATATCACATTGGGAGGGTGTCTGGTGAGGATTAAAATTAGATTTTTAGTAAATTTTGACAAAATATTTTGAAATACGTGTTTGAAAAGTTGTGGGACGCATGAAAGATGTGGTTAATATTAATTGTTGGACTTTAACTCATATTAAAATTTGATTAAAATCTGAGCCAAACAGGGGCCAAATATAGTACCAACCTAAAATTGCATGCTACTGCCCAGGATGCTGATTGGTTGTTGAGGTTGACCGAACAAGTTATCATGGCCTAAGTCATGATTACCTATTACTTAAGTAATCATTGCTTATTCCTGATTGGTCGAGAATGAGATGCTGACGTCATGGATGCCACTTGTCGCTTTAGTAGTGATTGTTTGGGTGGTGATGACATTACTTAAGAGACTTATGCTCAAAATTGCAATTATGATGTTTCTAAACGACGGCGAGTAGAGCTACCTATCATTGGATGAGCTTACCTCTAAACATGGTAGAGCTGACTTATCATTAGACGAGCTAACCTAACATTGTTGAGCTGACCAAGTGATCTCTTAGTCCATCGTTTTTGAAGTGACTATTGAATCTTCATAAGCTCTCCTTGAAATAAGGTAAGGCCGAGTTGCTTTTTTGGGCACCAACAATTCATATTTGGTTCTATACTCGAATATAAAGTGATTTTTGCTTTAAGAGATCGATACGGGATTCACTAAAGTATTATAAGTTTTAAAGTTTTAGCAATGAATATCCATAGAGCTTTTCAATGATACAGATTTTCCGTATGTTAGGTAAAAGTGAGAATAAGCAATATAAAAATAATAATAAATACACAGAATTACGTGAAAATCATAGACAAGAAAAAATCATGGCCCGAGTAGGAAAAATCTGCTATATCAAAGTTGAGTATAAGAGGAGTTTTGGATGATCACGCTGAATGATATAATGAAACTGCAAAATACATTTTGTATAAGTACAGGGTAAATAATAAAACAGAGCTTTGAATGCAACTACGAGGAAAAAAAAAGTGCAAACAACTGCCATATATATTTCTATGTAAATCTTATCAAACAAATCTTTCTTCATTGACATATAAACGAGCATTTTCACCATTTTTCGAATAAGCCATTGGCTTGAAAGTAGACAAAATACTATCCGAAGTAATCACTTTTTAACCGATAATAATTAAGTCCAAGATTCCTCCACTCCATATTTCTTTATCACCCATATACCAACATGAAACTCGCTAGCGGTGTTTAAAGAAAGACATACTCCTAGAATATCCAACTCAATGCTAACATTCTCGATCAGAATATCTATTGATAGTATCAATTCATAATGATTCTCATTCTCAAAACTAAAACCCATAATTTTAAATGATTTGTCCAAATACATATGGGAAATATTGTCAAGAAGTAGGAGTGGGCGCGGGTCGGTTCAGTTCGGTTCTAAACCAAAATTTTCGAGCATCTAGTAAATGGAACCGTCGGGTCCAAATATAATTATGGAACTGTTCGGGTTCGGTTCCGTTCGGTTCAGTTCGGTACTATAATTAAATTTTTTAACATTTATAACAACATTATATAAATACAACTACTAACACATTCAATAGTTTTGGAATGTCAGAGACTAGTAGACTACTTTGTTCAAATGATCGCTACGGTCAAAGTTTCGGTCGGTGGAGGTCAGAACTTCGATCGATGGTCATAGAGTCGATCAATAATTGTATAGATTTTGGAATGTCAGCGACACTGTGAGAGTGAATGCGAGAGTCGAGATAGCGTTATGCACTATAGTGTAGGTGTTTATAATTATTTAGTGGATTGGATCTTGTTGGACTAAGAAATGAAACAATAAAATGGGTAATTGGGCCAAAAATAAAAAAATTAGAAATGAAATAAATTATTGCACCAAAAATTTGGATTTAAAAATTGTTAATTTGTTTAGAAAAAAATAAAATTAGAATAATTTGATTTATTCAATATAAAAAAAAATTAAAAAGATTCGATTCTTCAGTTCTTAGTCTAGAATCGAGAACCGAACCGTACCCGTCGGTTCTCAATTCAGATACTCGTTCGGGTATTTAATTGGACAAGAACCGTCGGATTCGGTTCAATTCGGTTTTGAAGATTTGCCCAGCCCTATCAAAAAGTGAATGCAATGCTCCATTGATATGTACCTCACAGTGATTCTCATAAAAGGGTAATAGATAAGGAAAACATAGGACCCTGTTCCAAGAATTCGATTTCAAGCATAGAATTTTGTTACAAGAAAGCAAGAATAGGCAATACAAAAATAATAATAAGATCAGATAGATTTACGTGGAAACCATGACTAGAAAAAAATCATGGACAAATAAGGGAAAATTCACTATATCAAATATCAGTACAAGAGTAAGTTTTGGATAGTTGAAATGAATAATATAATGAAACCCTAAAATACAATATACAATGAAACACAACTTTAAATACAAACTGCAAATGAAAATAAAATGGGCAAACCTCTAACAAAGATATTTCTATGTAAATCATACAAAACAAGCATTTCTTAATTGACATTTAAAAGAGCATTTTCACCATTCTTTGAATAAGTCAATGACTTGAAAGTAGACAAAACACCATCCGAATTAATCTTTGCTTGACCAACTGATAGCAATTAAATCTAAGATTCCTTTACTCTATATTTTTCATTACCCATATAAGAACATGAAATTCTCTACCGATGGTTAAAGAAAAACTCCCTCTAAAAACATCAAATTCCGTGCTAACAATCTTAATCGGAATATCTGTTGACAGCATCAACTCGGCATAAGTCCAAACATTAAAACCTATAATTTTAAGTGTTTTATCCAAGTACATACGAAAATATCCTTAAGAAGCTAATTTGATACCACATTGACATGTATCTCACAGCAATTTTCATAAAAGGGCAATGGATAAGGAAAACACTAGAACTCGTTCCAAGAATTCAATTTCAGACTTAAATTTCAGTCTTAGAGAATGTTCTCTCTCCCACTACATTGTGAAATTCAATACTCCAAACAACTTTATAATCATTGAATCGTAACCCAACCTATACTATAGCATATAACTACGAATAATCAACGAATTCAATCGTGAAGGCATCAAGTAAATTCTTTTGTTTTCTAGAATACAAGTGGTTCAACCTCTAATAGAACTAATCCACTACAATAGCAAGACGTGCATTGAAAATTCCTAGAATAAATTGGGTATTGAACAACATGGGCTTCGTTAAGTGAATCCAAATCTCAAGAATGAGATCATATCTCCATGCTTTCATAAATGAGGCTGTAATTGGAGCATGTGGTGAATTGATGCAAATGTATCTTGATAAAATGATTACTGTCGATTATAGAGCACCAATTTTTTCATACAGTAAAGGGGTTGCATTTGATCAGCGAAGAATATTTCTTTGATGAGTTCTGAAGGAATACAAGATTATTGATCTTTAGGCAATGATTGCTAAAAGTTGTTGGGGTTATTATTTTTGAATGGGTGAAAGAAGGCAAATTTCTAAAAGACAAGGATAGCTTGTTGAATTTGAAGAACGGTAGACAAATTAGAAATAGAAATTAAAACTGGTATAAAGTTGAACCTTAATTTTTGGGTAAATTTCACATGGGGTTCCTAAACCTTTATGTTGATAATGATAGAAGCTGTGCCCATCTTAGCATAGCCGACAGAGCGCGTGATTTTTAAACCCCATGATCGTGGGTTTGATTCCCACAAATAGTATTTTGTACTCTTAAATAATTTTATTAATCTAACTATTCTATATTCAAATATAAAGTGGTTTTTTCTTCCAGAGATCCATATGGGGTTCACTAAAATGTTATGAAGTTTAAAGCTTTATCAAATATGAATATCCATACTGCTTTTCGATAATGTATATTTTTTGCATGTTACGTAAAAGTGAGAATAGACGATACAAAAATAATAACGAGAACACAAAAACTTACGTAAAAATTCCAGACGGAAAAAAAATCACAGGTGGAGGAGAAATCTATTGTATCAAAGATGAGTATAGAGAGGAATTTAGGACAGCTACAATAATAAAACAAGGCTTTGAAAACAAACTTTAGGATAAAATAGAATTCTAAATCTTTAACATTAGAATATATGATTCCTTCAAATCTCATCGAATTTATCATCTTACACTATTCTGTGGAATTTCACGATCCAGTGGCGTATCAAAAAATTGGTGATCAATAATCAACAGCGATCATTTCATCTAAATGTATTTGCATCAATCCATCATAACATGCTCCAATCACAATCTCGTTAATGAAAGCATAGAGATGAGACTTCATTCTGTAGAATTGGATTCATTTGTTTGAAGCCCATGTCGATCAACCTTAGTTTATTCCACTAATTCTCAACCATTTCTAACTATTACAATATATTAGTTGTAATAGTGGTGGAACCATTTATATTATGGAACCCTTTTTCAAAAAGACAAAAGAGCTTACCCGATATCTTTTATATTGAATCCAATAATTATTCATCTTTTTATGCCATTGAGCATTATAGGCTGGGTTATGATTCAAGAAACAATGATTATAAAGATGTTCGGGTGGTTGATTATCATATTTAGCAGGCAGTAAACATTCTTTAAGATTGAAATTTTAAGCTTGAAATTGAATTCTTGAAGCAAGGTCCAACGTTTCCTTGCCTTTTTTATGAAAATCGCTGAAAGGCACATGTCAATGGGTCATAGCATATGCTTCTTGAGAATATTCCATCCAAATTTGGACAAAACATATAGAATTATGGATTTTATTATTGCGAATTAGAATCATTACGAGTTAATGTTGTCAACAAATATTCCGATCGAGAATGTTAGAATGGAGGTGGATTTCTAGAAGAGTGTCTTCTTTATACGTCACTAACAATTTCATGTTGGTATATGGGTGATGAAAAAATATGAAGTGGAGAAATCTTGGACTCAATTACTTATCAGTTGTTCAAACGACGAGTAATT